GCTCCTAGTAGCGATGCCAGGAGCCCCTAGTAGCTTCTTGTTCCTAAACATGGTGGAACTGGAGTACCAGAAACTGGCCAGGTCGGGGTGCAAAAGTGTGTCGAGCGGCACGGCAGGAAATCCTGGAAAAACCATGGAACATGGGGGTGAACTTGGTGGTGCAGGATTTCCATCAATGGATCTCGGGTTAGTTGGAGGCCCTCAGCGAAGCTTTTCATCTCAAGAGGGTGTCAATGTAGTCCTTGTGACATATTCTTTTCACATCTGATTCCGCAACATAAGCCAAAAAATGGACCTCCGGTTCAGTCGTACTGTTTTACCTTTCCAGGTCCTGGTAGATAAACCCATGTCCAGATTGGCCGCACGGCTTAGGCCATCTGTTAATGGATCCGTCAACGACTCGCACCAATGAGCCAGGCGTCCACTGAGCAAACATGATCTCATCACATGAGCTCATCCTCTCACTGTCATCCACTGTCATCAGCCTTAGCCTCAAACGCCTGGTTTCACTTTTCGAGAAGCCTGGGTGTAAACAGAAATGTCCCGCGACTGACCCGAAAACATCTCCAATGGCCTGCTCTCTCCAAGGCACTCGCTCGAGCGAAGACGCGTGAGTCACCCGTGTGGCGCCTTCCTTTCCACGAGGAGCTTCCCCACATCGGCCTCCACCAGCGATGCCCTTTATTCCTAGTAGCTTCTTGTTACTACTAGTAAGGCCAGGAGTTCCTAGTAGCGCCCTTGCTCCTAGTAGTATGGCCAGGAGCCCCTAGTAGCTTCTTGTTGCTAGTAATGCCAGGAGCTACGTTCGTAGCGATGCCCTTTGTTACGCGTAGCGATGGCGCCTCCACCGGCACATCAAAGGAGCTCCCAGCACCCATCGAGCCGTGACGGTTTTCTGCGCCACCGAGCCGTGACGGTTTGCTGCGGAGAGGTGGAGGTTTTCGCGATCAAGAGCCATTGGGAGGCCATCGCTTCTAGTAACAAGGGCATCGCTCCTAGGAGCAAGGACGCTACTAGTAGCTCCTGGCCATACTACTAGTAACAAGAAGCTACTAGGTTGGAGGCCATCGCTTCTAGGTTGGAGGCCATTGGCTTTTGAGTGTCTCAACTTCCCCTGGGCCTTGTTGCCTGGAGAATCTCCGGACAGTGGCAGGCGAAGGAATCGGAGAACCCGACACCCGACAAGGACACGTTTACCAATGGAACTCGTTTCAATATAAAAAGGGAAGCACTGGATCGTCTATAGACCTCTTGGAACACCTCCAAACAAGAACCCGCTTGCTGCATCCAGTTGAAGACAACAAACAATCGCCTCCAGCCTTTTCACACTCTCAAAGTCTCCGTCTCTGTGTGCAATCTGTCCTTCCAGTATGAGTATGGCCCACAGACCTGGAAGTGCCAAGCCAAAAAGGGAATGTTGTTCCTCAACAAGGACGTTACGTTTGCGGAGTTTCCCTCGTGATTTGTGGAGCCAAACCTCCTGGCGACCCGGAGACTGAACACCACATGCTTATTGAAAAGCAGCAATGCCGGGCACCGTGGCACCCTGGGTTGATGCCAACAGCTGACGGTCCATCTGCGCTGTAAACAGACGAACACTGTTGGCACAAACGAGCACTCTTGAGCCAAGCACTGTGAAACGGCAAAAAAGCCCGGTGGGCGATCCACACTGTGATGGAGTCGTTTTGGTCAAAATATTGTGACAACAAATGAGACTTGGACAAGCGGACGAGCGGACATGAAAAAAGTCTTGGGTGGGGTGGTTTGAGGTGCAGGATGTAAACTGAGTCAAGGGAGTCACAGGTGCTAGCTAGCAGAAACAAATTCTTGGACCAGAGTTGGGATTACACCCAAAAGGAGTGGTGAGGAATGCCTCGCATGGCCCGGCAGAACCTGTGAAACCGGGCAAACCGCCGCCTGGCTCAGTCCGAAGAATTCCACGGCTCCTGTATAAAGGGTGCCTTCTTGGAATAAGGATGGCGGCCCTCTTTACTTTTTTAAGGGGGGTAGGCCGCTAGTAGTTTCAATAGCTACTACCTTGGACGCAGGATAGCTCGCGCAGGGAAAGCTTCCTTGAAGAAGCGCTCGCACTGATGATTTGGTTTCTAGATTTTTAGGGAATCTTAACATTACTAGCAATGGCCTCCTGCACCCTAGTATAGCGATGGCCTCCTCCACGCTAGTA